AATCTTTTGATCAAAGAACAAACTGTGCTTCACACTTGGGCAAAATCTCATAAGAATGCTAATTATATTATTTCAGCTCAAATTCCACATTCTTGTGAGAAAATTCTTGGGGGTAATTTTGCAGAAGCTGAAAAAGTTTTTAAATCACAAGAAAAGGAATCTAAGGTCTATTCCATGAATATGATGAAAAACAATTTCAAAAATAAGTTTGTCAGTAACTCTTTTATTAATCAAAGTTTAACTGATGAATATTGCATTACTAATTCTGATGGTATCACTGAGTGTAATGTTGAAATTACCGGAATTGATCCTACCTCTTATCCTGCACATCTTGTTAGACCAATCCCTCTAACTGAGAATATTATTGCTTTTCCTATCTCAAATGGAGTGTTTCATGCTGTTCATGAACAACTCAAGCACTTCCCTGATTGCAATCCATCTGTGAATGAGTCAAAATCAGATACTGATAGTTTATCACCTAACACTGATCAAACTCCTCCTAATACTGAATTCAGTCGTGACTCAATGATAATCAAAATGACTCAAAGCTCTCTTGGTGAATCTTACATGTCAAAATGTGTTAAATCAAAAAATTTGCTCACCAAGAAGAACTTTGGTACTAGAGTTTGTTACAGATGTGGTAATTCCTCTCACAAGATCAGTGAATGTTCTTTTGATAAATCATCCTCAAGTGCTGAAAATATTAAAGTTAGAAATGAAAAATGGACTCTTAAGTTAAACTCTTTAAACTGTCTTCCTAAGGAGTGTTATAATCTATTATCAAATAACTTTGTGAATGACCCATCTTTGAATGGGTCAGTGTGTTCTAACTAGTTTCTCAGTACTGCAGGGTCAGGAGCATCTTTGGTATTTAGATAGTGGTTGCTCAAGGCATATGATGGGATCAAAGTCTCTCCTGGAAGATTATGTTAAGAAAACTGGTCCTGCAGTTACTTATGGAGACAATGGAAAGGGGTTCACTAAGGGATATGGAAACATCAAATGCAATAACGTGGTTTTTCAAAACGTTTCATATGTAAAGGGTCTCAAACACAACCTCATTTCTATCAGTCAGTTGTGTGATGCTGACTATGAAGTTCACTTTACAAAGAAGGAAGGAAGAGTTGTAAACACTGACAAGAACATCGTACTCTCAGCAAGTAGAAAAGATGATATATATGTTCTTGACATGTTCTCAAGTGACAAGGCACTGATGCAATGTTTCTTTACAAAGTCTCAGACGAATCTTAGCTGGATTTGGCACAAAAGGTTTTCTCATCTGAACTTCAAGAATCTATCCAAGATATCCAATCAAGACCTAGTTAGAGGGCTCCCAAAATTCAGCGTTGTGAAAGACAAGATGTGCTCAGCTTGTGAACAAGGAAAACAAACCAAGTCCTCTTTCAAACCCAAGTCATGTTCCAGTATATCAGTCCCTCTTTATCTACTCCACATGGACCTGTTTGGACCTATTCCTGTTCGTTCACTAGGTGGAAATAAGTATACTCTAGTGGTCGTTGATGAGTTCACTCGATTTACTTGGGTAGTTTTCTTGAAGAAGAAAAGTCATGCTGCACAGGAAATTATCTCACTGATTCGTAAAAATGAGACACTGACAGGTCTTAAAGTTAAGCAACTAAGAAGTGATCATGGTACTGAGTTCCGAAACTCAACTCTTGAAGAATTTTGTGACAATAAAGGAATTGGACAAAACTTCTCAGCTCCTCGTACTCCTCAGCAAAATGGTGTTGCTGAACGAAGGAATAGAACACTGATTGAGGCAGGAAGAACCTTGATGATCCATGCTGGTCTTCCTATGTCGTTTTGGGCTGAAGCTGTCAATACAGCGTGTTTTACTCAGAATCGATCTCTAATTCACAGGATTCACAAGAAGACTCCATATGAAATGCTGAAAGATCGAAAACCAGATGTATCCTTTTTTCATGTGTTCGATGCATTTGTTATATTCTAAATCAGCGTGACCCAAGATCCAAGTTTGAACCTAAGGCTGATAAAGGTATTTTTGTTGGGTACTCATCTATTTCAAAGGCTTTTCGTGTTTTTCATGTGAATAGGCAATGTGTTGAAGAATCCATTCATGTGAAGTTTGATGAGGAATCATACACTGATGAAAAAGTCACTCATTCTCCTTCTATCTTTCAAGAGCTTCTCTCTTGTCCATTCGATGAAGCACCTTCTGCTGAAGATAAGACTGATTCCTCTGATCCTATCATTCCAGTTCCATGTTCCTTGAATCAAGATATTGCAGCCACATCAGCAGATAATTCATTAAGTGCTGATGAAACCCTTGAAGCTGAAGATTCTCCTGAAACTGATAATGTGTCAGTGTCTATCTCTCCGGAATCAGCATCAGTCATTGAACATCGAGATCATCCTGTTGATCGAATTATAGGGAATATTCATGATGGTGTCCGAACCAGATCTAGTGCACTTAATAACTTTTGCATGTATGTTAACTTTGTTTCAATGATCTTACCTGATAAAGTACACACAGCTCTTCAAGATGCTGATTGGATCAAAGCCATGCAAGAAGAACTGAATGAGTTTGAAAGGCACAAAGTTTGGACTCTTGTCCCAAGACCATCCGGGAAAACTATCACTGGAACTCGCTGGGTCTATCGTAACAAGGTTGATAAAGATGGAATCATCACTCGCAACAAGGCAAGGCTTGTAGCTCAAGGGTTTACTCAAATTGAATCCATCGACTACGGGGAAACTTTTGCTCCAGTTGCTCGCATTGAAGCTATCAGACTGTTTCTCGCATACGCATCCTACATGAACTTCATTGTCTATCAGATGGATGTGAAAACATCATTCCTTCATGGTGTGTTAGAAGAAGAAGTATTCCTAAATTAGCCCCCAGGCTTTGTGGACAAAGATCATCCTGATTACGTGTACCGGTTAGACAAAGCTGTTTATGGACTGAAACAAGCTCCCAGGGCTTGGTATGAGACGCTGACATCGTATCTGCTTGAAAATGGATACAGACGAGGAGCAATCAACAATACTCTCTTCATCAAAAACAAAGGCTCAGACATGGTTCTTGTTCAAATTTATGTCGATGACATCATTTTTGGCTCTCCAAATGAGACACTGAGCAAGGAATTTGCAGAGATCATGTCTCAAAGGTTCGAAATGAGCATGATGGGGAAGATGACTTTTTCTTAGGTCTTGAAGTTCAGCAACAAAAGACAGGTATTTCCATTTGTCAAAGTAAATATATATCTGACCTGCTTGTTAAGTATTCTCTCAGTGACTGCAAACCAGCCTCTACTCCAGTGTCTAAGACTGATAAGATACACGCTGATCCAACTGGAACTGATGTCAATCACTCTCTGTATCGAGGAATGATTGGATCCCTCTTATATCTCACAGCAAGTCGTCCTGATATTATGTTTGGAACCATTCTCTATGCTCGATTCCAAGCTAATCCAAAAGAATCTCACCTCATGGCTGTCAAACGTATTTTTCGATACTTGAAGGGAACTCAAAACCTTGCTCTGTGGTATCCTCGTGACTCAGCATTTGAACTTTATGGATACACTGACTCAGATTATGCTGGATGCAATTTAGACAAAAAGAGTACATCTGGTGGATGTCACTTCCTTGGCAATCGTCTCATCAGCTGGTCTAGCAAGAAACAAACATCAGTAGCCATCTCAACTGCAGAAGCTGAGTATGTTGCCGCTGGGAGATGTTGTGCTCAGCTCTTATGGATTCAAAATCAGCTTCTCGACTATGGGTTCAAGTTCTCAAAGACTCCCATATATTGTGACAACACCAGTGCCATTCAGATCACACAAAATCCTGTTCAGCACTCAAAGACAAAGCATATTGAAATCAGACATCACTTCATCAGAGATAATGTTGAAAAAGGAAAAGTTGTTCTTGAACATGTCAAGACTTCGGAGCAACTTGCTGATATCTTCACAAAGGCACTGGATTCTCAATCAACTGCTTACATTATCGGAGAACTGGGAATGATTTCCTTGTAATTAATTTTGATGTTTAATTGTGCTAATGTTTGATATTGTCTTATAAGCTGATGTACATTGTGCTGATGATGACATACTGATGATATTTGCTACTGAGCACTTTGGTTTGATTTCTTATCTTTATCTCTTCTTCAAGTCTTCTAAACAAAAGTTGAATGATTCACTGTATTAAACAAAAGTTAAACAAAAGTTAAACGATACACTGATAACGACTTGAAACTATTTGCCGATGGTTAGATTAAAACACCAAGATTTATCACATGCAACTACCCCTTCTCACCAATCTTACACTGATTCTGTGATTCAGTGTGTCAAAACACACACTGATGAGAATCTAAAATCTTTGCCGATGGTTAGATCAAAACACCAAGATCTATCACACGCAACTACCCCTTCTTACCAATCTTACACTGATTCTGTGATTCAGTGTGCCAAAACACACGCTGATGAGAGTCTAAAAATCTTTGCCGATGGTTAGACCAAAACACCAAGGTTTATCACACGCAACAATCCATTCTTTACCCTCCTCTTATTCAGTGTCTAATGATTCAGTAAGATAAACCACTCACTGATGAAGTCACAACAATCTGTGCCGATGGTTAGATAATGTAACTAGTATCTATCACACGCACCAATCTCCTTGCTAGCCCCGATTAAGCAAGTTGTACCTTGAATTGACGAAGAAATATTCTCAGCACGTAACTTTTGTGACACTGAGCTCAGTGCTTCCGCAAACACTGATTGACGTTTCACCTTCAGTCAACGGCTCTTTTATCCAACGGCTATTTTCTACTCTGACAGGTTGTTACGATGCGCCGTTATTCTTAATGAAGATAATCATCACCTTTTTAATGAAGATACTTATTACCTTTTTAAAAACCCCCTTTTCATTCCATATTTAAACCTCTTTCTCCCTTGGTTTAATTTTTCCTTCCAAAACCTTGAACTTTTCTCAAAAACCCTAGAATTCTCAAATACTCTCCAATGGCGGCATCTCTGTTCACATACTCCTCAACCTCTCGAAGAGTCGTTCCTGCCCCAAACTCTCCTCCACTTCCAATTCACATCAAGGCAACCAATGTCGTCTTCAACCCTGACATTCCAGAGGTTCATCGAGGTCTTGGACTCGATGATTTCGTCAATTTCTTGGCTTCTTGCCGCCTTCGATATGCAATCAGTGATGTACCGTCCGAGTTCTTCCCTGAACAAGTATGTGAGTTTTACTATACTGCAACAGTTAATGAAGAAAACAATGCCATCACCGGAACCAATGGTCATGGCAAACACTCTGTCTTCATCACCGCAGAACTACTCAGTGCTGCTTTAAGGTTACCAATTTTCGAACCCTTTTCTGAACCTCCAACTATTGAAAGATGTAAACGAATATTTGATCAACTGGGCTATGATCATTCAAAGGCTGGTACTCGATCAGCTCTTATTTTGCGTCAGTGCATGACCCCAGGCTGGAAGTTTTTCACTGGTGCTTTATGCAAGTGTGTGGGTCACAAGTCTCGCAGTGGTGATCAATTGAGCAATTATGAGCAACAAGTCGTCTACTCCCTTCTTCTCAACAAAAGATTAGATTATGGGGCACTATTCTTTGATCAGCTTGTTCAGCTTCTACGTGCAAATGTGCGTGCTGATCATGTTCCCTTTCCACGCTGGATTGCCCTGGTGTTCGACAAATTCTTCGCTGCTGACTACTTTTCTCACTCTGGGAATCCAATCCAATGCCCTCGAATGTCCGTTCGTATGTATCAGGATGATCCTTTGGATACTGACATTGGAATCTCCGATAGGATGAGAGAATGGATTGCCAATCCATACACTATGCCTTCTCTCACCGCTGACACTGATGAAGGAGGTGCTGATGGTAATCGTATGGATCGTGCTGATCAAGAGGTGGAACATCATGATGGCGGCCATTTCTCCCTCAACTTTCTCATCACCTCATCTCGGCCACTGGCAAAGCCTCCTCAGCACCACAGGATTCCATGCCTCTGGGGGGCAACCATCACAGGGGGAGCATCAGTCTCAGGGGGAGCATCCATCACCAGCAGCTCACCACTTCTCTCCAAGGATGCAACCTAGCTCTCCAGTTCCCCAGGTACCTCAATGGTTCAAATTCCCGCTTCAGCATTTTCTGAACTGATGTCACTGACTCGGGACATGAGTCAGCGTCTGCTTCGTATTGAGGCTGATGTTCAACAAATCAAGGAGGTTCTCTTACTTACTCCTCCCTCTAGTCCCAAATCTAATGATGCTCAAAAAGGGGAGATACTGATGATGATGCTGATGCTGATGGTGAACCAAATGCTCATGCTGATGGTGAACCAAATGAGAAAGACAAGAACCTGCTGACAACACTATCTTTCAGCATGAATCACCCAACCCCATTCCTGAATCTGATTCTGCGGGGCATAATAGTCCAGCAGCTACTGAAAAATTGTTTGAAGACAGTGAGCATGATGAAGAGCATGATGAACCTGATGATGAATGTCAAATTCTTGACATGAACTTCATTGATCCTCTCATTCCAGTTCAGCAAGAAAGCTTAGATGACCTTGAAGAATCTCATCCGATATTAGCCGATCCTATTGCTGATCCCATCATTCCGTCCAAGGAGAGGATTCGGACATTGCCAGTGAAGAATCTCATCCGCTGTCTCGAAAGCGGAAGGTAGCAGATACTGACTTGGATCATTCTCAAACTGATACTTCTTCAACTGTGAAGAAACCCAAGTCCATTGTCAGTATTTCAAACCTTGCCACTGAATGGAACATGTCCCCTGATCAAGTCAAGCAAATTCTTGATGAAGCCAATCGAGGTCAGCTTCTAAAGAACATTGCTCAAGCTGATGAATCTCTTATTCAGCACAAACTTTAGGCCAAGGGATCTTTTGAAGCTCAGATGTAGAAGTTCCTGGAATTTCAGTCCAAGGCTCAGTCTTCTCAACCTCCTCCTAGCTCTAGCAAGCCTAAGACTGACAGTGTTCTTGACCGGATTGATTGAAAGAGATTTGAAGATGTTTTTAATCGGAGAATGTGTGGAGATAAGATCATCAAAGTCAAAGCTTCTAAACCTCGAAACGAGAAAATCCTTACGTTGCTGATCACTCGTCAAGGTCCTCAGCACTCATATACTGAAGTTGTCAAGAGGGATGAGCTGATTAGATATGGGTATTCGGAATGGATGGAACTGCTCGATCTTGCATCCAAGCAAACCTCAGCTCACTCTTCAGAACTGACTTGTGCTCTTCATCTGCTGATCAAGAAATTTCAGCGTTTGGATCTTGTTCCTAAAGAACGACCTCAACATCAAGGCCAAAGGTCGTCAGTTCCTAGATCTCGAAGGAACCAAGTTTCATGTTGATGGTGAAGATGTATTGGTTCTAGACTTTGGTGCTGGTGTAATTAACAATTCACTTCCTCTAGGTGTTGATCCGTTCAGCATCAATTCATCTCAGCTCCTGAACACGGGATGTTCTATCTAGACAAAAACAGGAGGATGTGCTTTCAACGAACTACTGAGATCCCAAAGGCTCCAACCACTCACCTTGTTGGCTTAAGGCAAATGTGCATGAGTCATCAAGATCTATCCGGAGAATTTCACATTCTTATTGCCATGGAGCTGTTGAACAGAAGACAGGAATTGCTGGACAGTCCTTACTGGCCAGTTAAAATTGAAGCTGAAGCTGAGTATGAAGAATTTCTTTCCAGAGGTGTCTTTATTTAGTTTGTTTTGAACATCATCATATTGGGGGAGATTGTAAGGTCAAACCTTGAAATATGATTATGTTTAAAACAGACTCAGCGTCAGCACATGTCTCAGCATCAGCACCAGCGTGTAACTGCTCAGTTTGTATTAGTTTAGTTTATTCAGTGCATTGTAACAAATCATGTATTTATTTTGTTTCCTTAGTTATCTTGATTTATTAGCTAGCATATCCCTGAATTGTAGGGATTGTCTAGAGTAACAGTATATATTATCTTGTACAGGTTTGTGAATCGCTACGCCTTTCACAAACCCTAATCGTCGCTTTGTGCACACGATAATCTCTTTGTGAGATTATCTTTCTTAGTGAAAGTTTTTCTTCGTGAATTTCTCTTGTTCTTATTTATTGTCTTTGTTTGGTATATCGATTGATATAAAGGCTCTTCAGTACTGCTATACGAGCTCGAACCCCCATGATTCACATTTGTTTGCATTTCACAGAATTTTTTGTTCCTTTCTGAAGCAATTATGTGTTCGTCCGTTTGGAAATACTCAATTGTCTTCACCCAGTTATCAACTAGCATACCCTCCAGAGGATTGGCTAATGCTCTCGGATATCGTCATACCTCCAACTAAC